TAAACCCCACTCAGAGCAGGGCCAGCTCCAAGTTCAGCCCAGGCTGCTCAGGGCTCCATCCAGGCCAGCCTTCAAAGCCTCCAAAGACAGAGACTGCACAACCTCTTCAGGCAAGCCGCTCCAGCGCTTGACTGTTCTCATGGTGAAAAGTTTCTCCTCGTTGCTGGTCTGTCTCTTGCTTAAACTCATGCCACCATCCAGCTTTGCAGCGTTAAGAGCTGGTGTTTGCTCTAGAACAGTCTCCACCGCCAGCAGGACGTTTTCCTCTTCTATAAATCCCTCCTTTTCACGCTGATGCCTGCTCCAGCCTAAACATCACTTGGACACAGCTAGCAATGGGGTAAAGTGGGGCAGGGTACCAGATTTCTACCCAACCACCCTGCAAGATCCCAACTCTAGTAATTTAAATAGCAACCCCTTCCTAGGATCCCTCTCTTGCTCGGTGGAACCAGTTCCTCTGTGGATTGTGAAATGAAACGCTTACGGCAGACACGTTCCAGCTCCTCCTCTGGATGAGAAGAGAGGGCTTCTCCCACCAAGGAACAGCCCAACACAAGTGTCTCCTCACTGAGACCACGCTCCCATTTACACCACGCTCCCACTTACACCACGCTCTGCAGCTTTTGGCTCTGCCAAACACTGCGGGATGTACATGGGGGTTACGTCAGGGAGTTGCCTGCTTTACGGATGACTGGGGCAGTGGCAGAAGAGGAGATAGGGAGATGTGAATTAAGAAATCATTGCCACAAAACAAATGCAGTCATTGAAGGCACAGCTCAATATACGAGTTTAAGTGTTCAACAAGTCCCTCCCCTCATCACCCCCTGAATCTGCAAGTGTGTGTAAGATGCTGAGAGCAGAACCAGGACCTGAAATTAAACCCTCGGCGTGCTGACTGACTTCTCAGCGTGGCCCTTCCCTGCTGAGTTGGGAAGAGCACAGAAGAGGACGTATTGCTATTTTATCTCTCCATCTCTCATTTAACAGGGAGGGTACCCTTTGGAAAGCAATACTGCAGAGCTGAAACGCTTGTGCTGTTACCCTGACTATCTCTTTTTACTTATCTAGGTGTAACCCATAACTTTACCACAAGGTCTGACCAGCTGCACAGGGGATACAAAGTCCCTGTTCTTCAGTCTTCACACCTGTCAAACAGGTCAACCTGACCAATCACCAGATCTCTGGAACAAAAGTACCTGCTTTTGGTGACGTCCTGCCTGTGTGCATGCAGCTTTTCACATCGGATTTCCCACATACTTGAGAAATTCTGCAGGCAAGAATGACCAAAAAAAAAAAAAAGAAAAAATAAAACCTTACCTTGCTGCTATCAACACAATAGGTGCTAACGCACGCACAGCTCTAGATCAAGCTTAATTGAAGTGTGAGAGGAGGGAAATTTCTAGTTGATCCTCCCACTACAATTACCTTGAAAAATCTATTTGGGAAAACCGGGCTAACATGAAATGTCACATCTACCTGTCGCTCTTCAGACCATGACCTTGAGTATCGCAACCTCTGCCCGCACAGGCAGGACACGCACGCCCGGGGTGGAACCCAGCCAGCGAGCGCAGAGCCATTCCTCCCAACATCACCGACACATCTGTCCACCCAGCCGGCACATCCCCACCCACGTCCACTCAAGATCTTCCTCCAGATGTCAGTGCCTCTGCGCAGAAACGGGGCTGAGCTTGCCTCCAGAGAGTTCAGGTACCTGCCTTCGCGACGTTAGGCCAGAACTAACACATCGTGGATCTAACCGTGCACGTACTCGGCGCTTTGCAAGACCCCGGAACAGTTTTTGCAAAGTTAACTGCTCCCCTATGAATGACGTAGGTAAGTATCGCTTCTCAGATGCACCCCAAAAATGCGATTCAAGATTTTTTGGGCCTGCAGGGCAGTAGGCAATCATGTTTTAATTAAGGAAAAACCCAAGTGGATCAGCATACTCTACATCTTCATCTCTGCCAATGCAAGAGTTACAACAGTTCATGTGAGGAATCCAGAGGAGTGGACAATCCCACAGCTGAACACTGGTACGATAAAGCTTTGGCCACACATCATATAGTTCCACTAACATGTGAGGACTGCACTCGGGGCACAGTCTAAGAAAAGCTTGTTTGCAAAGCTGTAAAGCAGGCAGGTAGTTTTGTTTCCACTCTTTATCGCTCGCTGCTGCCCTTTTTTACCTTCCTGCAAGGGTGAAGGTGTGGACCACGGCAGCAGCGTTGGGCAGCTCAGTGCGAACCACCCCACAAGCCACTATAGAGGAAGGACGTAAAAGCAGCGATGAGTGATGCCCCAACTTTGGAGTTCACACCACTGCCAAGCCCTGCAGTTTCCCAACCCCTGTTATCCATCCTGTCCCATCAAACTCCTGATAAGCATATAAAAAAGAAAAAACATTGGGTTGCAGGTCACTTACCGCATCCAGACGTGTCAATCTAGCATGGGAGTCAGGCAGAGCCAGGAAAAACCCACACCGTGCTCTTTGCAGGTAAAAAAGTAACTCCCACTCCTCCTCTAGAACAAGCACGATCAGATATTTCTTGTCTTACTTAACAAGGCAGTTCATGAGCAGGCAATACCTGAGGCTGGCATGCGACAACACAGCAACGGTCGCGTCCACATTTAATACATCTTATGGACACGCTGCAGAACGTCACAGAAGGAAGAGGAAAAACACTCACAGGAGTCGAGTAATTCTGATTTTATATTCAGTCTTTGCAAATCCAGGATGTCCTATTTTCACTATTCATTCAAGGCAAAAAGTCTACAGAAGCATGCCAAAAAAGCAGTAATTGAAAAGCAGTAAACACGACAGTCTTGAAAATACGTTTAATGTCTAATCTTATACAAAAGTGACAGCATTTTCAAAAAAATATCAAATCCTGTATTTATAGCTTCTCACTATCATACAGCAATATTTGTTTCATCTAAAGAAAATACAGCAGCAGGTGATAATCTATACTTTAAAGACGTGATTGCTTATATTTCATATTGTAAACAAATGCAGTATGTCAATCTCAAAGCACAAGTCAAAACGAACTTCTCAGCAATTTAACTCAAACGATGCATAGAAATGTACAAATTCCATTGCAAAAAGCTTCAGGCCAGAAGTTGCTCACACTTGACATAACGTGATAAAGTTACTACACGGTATATAGTGACAACTTGAGTTTTGTTATTTTATTTATTTAATTTTATTTTTTTTACACCATCGATTAACAGGAATACCCTTTTCACTGCTATGCAAAGAACTTTGCTCACAAAAACAAAGGGGTTATGAAACAGTTTTCATGACCTCAAGAAATACAAATATACATTGAAAAACATCTCATATATAGTGAATTTTAGCCTAAATGTTCCAGTAATAATTCCTGCCTATTTCAGGAAGAACCTAGAAGTCTAGTAACTTTTACAAATCCCCTTTCCAAAAACCGTTACTTGCTACGCTTGCTTTGTCCTTTTCTACCTTCCCGTTCCCTGCCAAGACATACGGCCAGCGCGATTTCCAACTGGAGTCCTGCTACGGCATGATCCGTTCACTCAGATATTTAATTTTATTTTTTCATTACATTGATTTATAATCTAAGGCTGCACGTATAAAAAAAAAAAAATCACTTGAGCAAATGTAGTCAATGTTCTCTCACATTAATTTTTAATTAGCCGTGGCAAGGTCTAAGCCAAGTATGTTTGGGGGGCAACTGTGGTTTAAGGTTAGTGAAGATCTGCTCTTCTAGTTTCTACTTCTAGGGTTACAGATGGCAAGTTTTAAGCTGAAACGTCGGGCTGAAACATCCACCTTCAGTACTGCCTTCCTAAAAAAACCCAAAAACCAACATATACCTTTGCTATTAGCTTTCATGACATTAGATTAAAACAGCCACACCTAAGCCCGCTGCTTCCTTCTGCAACAAATATCGCAGGACTTCACTGCAAAGGCCAAGACTATGGACAAGCCGGGTCACCTCGTTTGTTTCTAAGTCCATTGCACGCATGCAGGAAGCCACGATAAAATACTGGAAGAGAATTAATTCGCTTTCATAGTTCCGTGGTACAAACACTCCCTAACGTGCTACCATGGGCAAGCAACATTTGTTCCTAGTTCTACCTCCAGCAGCTCAGTTCGGGCATCCCCAGCTGGGGAAGAAGCAAAGGGCCCCGTGGTCAAAGTCTGGGCTGTGAAGTATCGCAGGGAGAGCCAGCAACTGACACGTGTCTGGGGTCGAGGCAAAGCCCCACGTGCCCTTTGCACAGATAGGGATGAGAATACGAAAATTTAACCCCCTCAGAGGAAGGACAGCTACGTGGCAGTGCCCAGGCTTCGAGACATTGGGTTACTCCCAAACGACACTTACTCAGTGAGGTGTGTGGACACCCAGGTGAGAACAGAGGACTTCTCCCCGGTACAACATCCAGATGAGACCTCCTCACTCTCAGCTGCAGCTGGGAGGATCTCTGCAGGTCACAGAACTCAAGGCCGTGCCAAAAAACACCAGGAAGGGAACTGTCAGTTGGGGTTTGGGATTTTGTTTGATTTTTTTTTTTTTTTTTTTAAATCTTTTAAGCTCAAGTTCAGTTTCCAGGGACTCTGAAAAAGCCTGCCGAGTTTACACAACACAGCAGCAAAGTCAAATTTTAAATGACTGGAACTCGGGTTAGAAAGAGGGGAGTACCTTACCAAAGTGAGAATCAGTTTCTCTTTTTACACAGACCAAGTCAAACTTCCAACCACCACAGAATGAGAACTGGCAAAATGATGTCCTCACTTGCATGCATAAAAACTCACATTTGTTGATTCAAAGTTAACTGCACATCCAGGTTATTTAATTCACGCATCGCTGCCTGTTTGTGAACACAAACGGCGCGTTCCCAAGTTGGAATCGAGGATTTCAAATGTGGATCTTCTCTTCCGTAGTCCCAGACGGAGCAATTGTTTTGAGTATATACAAAATGCTGAGAAAACCTTCGAGTTCACATGCTCTGTCTCTTTAGTTTGAATTACTGTAGCATGTTCGAAACTTAGATTTCTTGACAAAATTCTTGAAACACTTTTTATTGACATTTCAGAATAACCTGAAAATAGACAAAATACAACTATCCAACCATTCAGTGACCAGCACGAGTCTGGCAACGAGACTTAAAGCATTCATGGAAATTTAAGAATTAGCATATTGATTTTTTTAAGTCCTCGGGCCTGATTCTTTATAATCCTTACTTGGCAGCTCCCATTTTTCCAGGGAATACTTGCCAATGTAAGAACCACAGGTGTTAGTTTGATTTCTGCTCTTTGTCATTCATTCTACGAAACCAAACAGTTATGCCAGCGTATGAGGCAAGGTAAATTTATGCAAACTGCTCCTTCACACCTCTAATGCACATACAAGAGGCAAGTATTCTTCACAGCCCCAAACATTATTGAAACAAAAACTGTAAAAATCTCTGTAAGTAGTGGATGAAGGTGGAAAGCTACAGTATTTTGTTGCCCAGAATGTATTCAACGGTAAGGCTGCAAGAGACAAAAATTCATGGTCAATACAGGCTTTTCACAAAACGGTTCATTCACAGTTATAGAAGTTCTGGATTAAAAACAAATTCACCCTTGTAATTTTTTATTCCCTCTCTCTGTGCCCTGGAAGCAATCGCTCTAGGTTACAGAGAGCAGAATATTTTCTCTTTCAGAAATTATTAGAGTTTTCCCCTCGTTTTTGCCTTTTAGGGGTTTTACAAGTAGCAGAAAACCACTGTAATGTGATGCTTAGACACATTCCAACGTTAGGCTGCTTTGAGCAACCTGGTCTAGTGGGAGATGTCCTTGCCCGTGGCAGGGGGTTGGAACTAGATGATCTTTAAGGTCCCTTCCAACCCTGACAATTCTATGATTCATATAATATCACGGTTCCAGTATATTTAGTTAAGCATTGAAGAAGGTGGCTATTATTTCACTGACTAAAGAAATAAGACAGCTTTGCTGAAATTCCTTACCTGCACTACTAGGCCTCAGACTACTGGATTTCCACACTTAAAAAGTGTAACATTTTAGAGTGTTCAAGTCCAAAAAAATATTAATAAAATCAAATACTCACATGGGGACCACCAGGCATTGATGGAGCACCAGCAGGACCAGATGGCACTTGAAAAGGATTAGGGGGCGTAGGATATAGTCCTGGAGCTGGATATGATCCTGTGGGTGGAGGAAACGGACCTGGCGGTGAAGGTCCCCACGTTCCAGGCGGAACCGTACCCCACGGTACTGTTGGCGCAGCCCCTGGAGTCTGGGTAGGAGCTGAATATGGCCCTGGGGGTGGATATGGCATGCTGGGTGCAGGATACTGCCCTCCCATTGTTGGTCCCCATGCTCCGGAGGGCAGGGATCCCCACGGCCCAACGGGAGCAGGAGGCGCAGCCGGCTCTGTCGGACCACCGTAAGGTCTTGGAAGCTCTGGAAAGGGCATATTTGGTGGAGGATATTGCCCTGGTGGGACAGGACCTGGCACAGTGGGGGGCGGATACGGCCCACCAGGAGGTGGGCAAGAGGGTCCAGTAGGAGGAGGAGGAAATGGAGCAGGCGGTCCGGGGGGCATTGAAGGATACATTCCCGTTGGAGGAGGGCCGAAGGGCACACCAGAGGTGGACGTTGTTGGTGGCAGTCCGGTTGGCGCCGCAGGAGGAGGAGCGCTCGGGTTGTTCCAAGGGTTCGAAGCCGGAAGCCGCCCAAGCCTGCGGCGGCTGACCAGGCTGCTGACCAGGTTTTGTACTGCTCACTTTGGAGGTTTTAGCAGGCGACTGATCTGGTAAAGCATCTGCCAACTAAAAGATAAAGCATCGGTGAGAACGTACGACGCCGACCGGGCTTCCTCGCCGCAGACATCCACCCGCTACGCGTACGTGTTTTCAGTTGCCAAAATGGGAGGAGAAGAGCTCTTTGTTGCTGCACAGAGACGATTACATTCATTTTTGTGCAGTTTCTATCATTAAGGTAGAAGAGGCATTCTGAAATGCTGCAGTGAGAAAACCAAAGATAAAAGGCGACCTACCACACATAGCAATAAGCAATTTCAGCACAAATCCAGGGGGGAAAATAAAGATTTTCACAGATTTCCATTATAGCTACTCTGGCCCTATTAAAGCACAACTCCTTCGTTAATATCAGAGCAGAAGAGAACCCATAAGGCACCTATAGCAGCTTTGTATGCTTAGTCCACAGATTGCTACATCTACCCAAAAGAAAAACATCACAACTGTGATACAGAAGAAAATCGTCTCTTGCCTGTAAGCTCCCCTTCTTCTTGAAAAAAAAAAAAGTACGCCAACTTTAACACAACTGGCTGATCTTCAGGAAAGAAAAACTGTTACTTACCGAAAAATCATCAGTTCCAGACATTTTGCTGAAAAGTAAGGTAAGATAAAGTGAAATTTGTTGAAAATAATAAAAGTACTTCAAAGCAAGAGTTCATGAGACAAGCTCTACACTTGTCTCATCTGAACCACAGCAAGTGTTGAACTGGCAGTGCCTCTTGGCAGCAGCTTTTGTTTTAATGACTGGCCCATACAGATAGGTGCCACCCAAATAATAATTCCCTCTCCATGAAGTTCTCATGAAAAGGAAAAGTCTGCAGCCTCCACCTGTCTCAACTCAGACAGGACCGACACATACTGTAAATGGGTCACTTTGCACTACAGAATAAATATTTCAAATATTTGTAGGGAGTAGGCAGCCTACCCAGTGCTGCCTGTAAAGCATTCAATGTCTCTTCTAGGCTGGGACTCAGAAAAGTTATGGCAGACTGCTTGCTTGCAGGTGAAGTCAACGTACTTAAACCAAAACACAGTTAAATCTCCACTGGCAAAAGGAAAAGAACTATAGTTTGCTGATGTTTTATCCTCTCATTATTTCAGAACATACTAAAAGTAGTGGATGCTCTTATTTACCCTCACTGACTGCAGCTACTTGGCCTTAACTGAACACAGACACGGCAAAGGTGTCACTAACACACACCCGACTTCTAACCTCTTAGTGCTTACAAGAAGCGTCAAAAATAGCCCTGGCTTTTCACAAAGACAACTACTGCACTTGGAGCTTTCCAGAGGTTCACCACAATGAACGTTGATTGGCTTTGTCAATCTTTATTAGCCATACAAAAGGGCAGCTGGAGTTACATTCAGTTTGACAAACCAGCAGCAAATGCTGGCCAGAGGTGAAGAACTGTTTAAAAAAAAATAAAAATAAAATGACCAAGAGCAGGTGAAATAGGTGGACATGCCTCAGTGCAGGCAGAAGGTTTTAGGGGAGAGTGTAGGAGAAGAGGAGGAGGAAAAATGCAAAATATAAGTCCGAGTATGAATACTACTGCCAAGTTGACCCCCAGGAAAAACAACCCTTGTTTCAACTCCATGGTGAAGATCTGAGTTTTAACACAGAGCTTAGTCTCAGGTTGGCCTACAACAAATAGGTTTATAACCACCATTACATTATAAATTACATATAATGCACATATAAACTCATCTTCTCTGAAACCGCATTGTTAGTTTACTACTATCTACACAATTTCCTAGTCTTAGGACAGTAATGGATGAGAACGAGGGGCCATTTAGCTCAGGATCCCATTTTATCTTCAGCAATGACCAGCAGGGAAGAACATGACCGGGGATGACACTCACCCCAATACTTCAACGATTCCAAGCTGAGAGATTCCCTAAGCCATCAACAATTTCTATGGGATAACAACCCTCAGATAATTTCTCTTCCCCTAACACACCTAGTTTCCCTGCTTGGGAAGGAACTCCACAAGGCCGCTGTTACACAAAAAGACACCTTTATTTGTTCTAAAGCTGCATTTTTCTACTTTCAGTTGTTGCTCCTTCATTCTTGCAGCTGAGGAAATCAGCAAGTCTATTCTTATCCACCCTGTCCTTGCTGATCATTATTCTACAGATTTTTACCATTTTCTTTTAGCTGTTCCTTCCTCAGGCTGAGCTGTGGCTTACTCCATTGACCCTTGTGCAGCAGCTACTCCATACCTTTGATTACTGTCACTGCCTCTCTACGAGGCTTTTCCAAGTCTTCTGCATCTTTTGAGATCAATGACAAGAAAGAACGACACAGAATTCAACACGCGGGACAACCACTGACTGATACAGTTTCGTAATTATGTTCTGGTTTGTCTTCTATTTCCTTCCTAGTATTTCTTTGTGTTTCACCTGCTTTTTCATCACCACAGAACTGACACTCTGTGGCAATATTTCACTCCTCGGTGTTAAGGGTCAGTCCATCACTTCACATACGAAATTATACGCATCTACTCTGAATTACAACAGATTTATCATCACTGAATTATATCTGCCATTTTATTAACTAATTCTGACTTTCATGAATGGCTTCTTATCAACAAGACACTGCTCATCTCATCTCCCTGGTTATTTATGATCACACCAAGCAACCCAGACGCCCATGGAAACGCCAGGAATTTCTCAAGTTACACCTAATAATTTAAATAACCTTTTCAGAAATATGTATCTACAAAGCGAGCAGCCCGGTGGAAAGAAGTGCCTAACTGCATGAATCCAAAGGTTTGCTCGAGCTCCAGCATTAGCTTGTTATAGCAGTAGTTCCTTCAAGTACATACAAATACCCGAATCCTCCTCTTGGATGAGGTATGCTGTTCAGATCAATGACTATTTGTTTAAAGTTCAGAAAGCAAATGAGCTACAGCAGGAAAGTGGTTTCTGCTCCCGTTATTAACAGCTCAGCAGCTCGAGAGTCACCTACCAGATAAAAAGCTCCATTTCTCTTTAACAGAGATCTCTTACGTTAGAATTTACTGCAATGAACCATGCTCATTATTGAGCATGATCAGAAGTTGGTATGTGCTTTTTAATGGCACTGCAGTTCAATTTACCTATATAGACACAGCACCTATTTAACCCCTGAAATATAGGAAATCAATCATTAGCGACAAAAGTAACTCTTTATATAAGTGCACGTGTAAACGTATTCATACGCAAAAAAAAAAAACCAAACCAAAAAACAACAGGTTAGCAAAAAGCAACACTAAAACAGGCCAAGAGAATCATCGTTTCTTTAGGCAGATGGAGAGATAGGATAAGACCAACCGAAAAAACATATTTATAAGGGACTGAAAAAAAGCCAGCAGGAGAAGTTACAACATATGGAGCACGAGAGAACTCGGAAGAAAATCCCATGATCTGTCACAAAAGTGCTGGAGAACCGTAAATTCAAGTCAAAGCAGTGCGCCATCAAAATTAAGGAAACAACTCTGCTGCACGACTTATTAAAAAAAAAAAAGCATGGTTAAGCATAATCTATGATGAGATTTAGTGGCTTTTTTACTTTGGCAAGCAGACAAGAGCAACATCTGTTGGCAACATTTGGAATAACTGAGTCAATGCCAAGCATGTCAAGGATCCTCTTGCAGACAGGATGGCCTACTTCAGGGATGTTTTTTAAACACACATTTAATCTGGATACTGTCACCTTCATTTAATAAAAAAGAAACTGAAATTACCATTAGACACATTCAGACAACATATCACCTAAAACATACTTAAGTCTAGAATCCATATTCCATTCAAGCCATTCCACGCTAGCGTAGGGAATTTCAATGAAAACCTTACAGAAATATCAATTATATTTGTAACAGCATCACCCAAGGCACTTGCATGCTCACAAATTAAGGCTCGGAGACAGCGTCAGACAGAAGACCCCCCCAGGCAATTCCATTTTAAAACCCCACTGGTCACACACGGGCTCAAGATTTTAGAAAAATGTACTGAATAGTGCCTTGACTATATTTTGAGAGTCAGTAGTTAATAAACGAGGACTCTCTTTTTGATTCTTTCCTAGAAGGGAGCTGCACAAGCAATGGTATGAGCAGAGATTCCTGTCACACACACCCATTTTGCCACCTTTAAACTCTTCTTTCCTGGATTTGCAGGAGGAAGAAAGAGTGAGTGGAAGAAGGAGAGTTCAGGAGTTTAAGCAATCTGGCCAGGAGCAGAAATGCTACAGAACTGGTAGCATTCAAACCCAAGCCCTGCTCACATCCACTGTGCTGTAAGATAAGATTCCCCTTGTTTTCCCAAGGCTGCCACCCCTGGAAACATCCCCCGCTTTCCTGAAGTTCTGCTGCTCAGGGAACCGTTTCTGAGCCACCTCTGGGAACACATGTGGCCAGAAGTGTGAAACTAAAGCAAAGGATGGAAAAAAAACAAAAACAAAAACAAACCCCGAAAGATGACCGATGCCTAAGGAAAAGACACTTAGGAGAAGATTCTCTCTTCTCCTTTATCCTGAAGAATGATGAAAAGGCACAAAGGATTTCCAGTGCAACTACCCAGCAGAAACCAAAGACGACCAAATCTTCAGACCACACTGCAAGTCCTCCTGGACACCCAGGAGCTGCTCCCAGAAATTAATGGCAGGTATAGGTGAGACAAGCCGGCTGGGCTCTGTGCTGCAGGCTGAAGAAAGGCTGGGAATTGCTCCTCTGACACGGCACCCACCACGTTCAAGACCAGATGGGGATTTTTAGAGAGGTCTATGAAAACTCCCTTTCTGGATGCCTGGTGCTATGTGTGACATACTAAATCCATCCTACTAAACAGCTTCCACAATAAAACAGCTCCACAGTGTTTTTTTTAAGCTCTAAACCCTCTCTGACCACATCCAGTCTAACTGAAACTAATGGCTGTAGTAGCAATTTTTCCCATGCTTTTGCCTTTCCTGGCTTTTATCCACCATCGGTCCTCAGGGACACTCGTTAAGAGTGCAAAACACCTTCTTTTACTAAACCTATCTGAAACTAAGCATCAACTGCTTTAGTATGTTTTTTTTTTCCCCCCGAGTCATATGACATTTTTTGAGCACTCGATGTGCCAGATTTAGTTCCTGTCTCCCGGGTTGTCTTTCAAACACAGAAAAACAGTTCCTAGATGCAACAAGCTCTGCTGCATTTCCACTGGGTGGCACGGCTCTACCAGCAAAGAGGTTCTGTTGTCACTGTAACATGACTAATTCCTACCAGCATAACCTCATCTACAACAAGATTTCTGCCCACATAAGTGTAACTACCCAACATAGCTATACAGATAAAATGGAAGAGCGACCAAATCTTTTGACAGCTTCTAAATGTTTTCTACAACATGCAAATTTCTGCAGATTCAACCTCCAGGCGTTAAGCATCAACATTTTACAGCTGGCCTTTCCCTAGGTTGAATGCCCTCTCGGCAGCCGCACTGATGTGCTTCTGTACCGTCACCTAGTCTGGCCTGGGTGTTTATTCACTGGGAGAATAAAGGCACTTGGTTAACAGACTGACAGGGGAAAAAACACCCCAAACAACAGTTCCATCATTAGTAATTACGT